GCCGTATTTCCACAGCATACTCGTTAGGGGTTTTGGCCGGTAGTATACAGCGTGGGAACATCTGTTTCAGTGCCGCCTCTTTCGATATATTCGGTTTCAGCACTCTCCCCAACTGCCGGCGCAATTCTTCCACGGGTGTGTCCTCGTCGAGGCCAGCATCTAAGGCCTTGTCCAGCTGTGACTTCGTCAAGCCTTGTAGGATAGCCATGCTTCGATCCTGGCTGCGCACAACCCGGACTTGAAACTGTACACGGCGTAGCCAGGTCGAAAAGTCTTCTTCTTCATAGCCGGACAATTTTAGCTGTAGACTATTACCAGAAGAACAAACTGCGTTCTGAACCGTGGAGTTCGTGGGCACCGCTTCCACCAATGTAACGCCCTCGATTCTTGGGTTAGATTCTGGCGTGGATGTGGGAGTCCCTTTGGATGTATTCAATATACTTTCCGAGCTGAAAGGCTCACGTTTGAGTTTATCATCGAAATCCTCATTGGTATCACCCATAATTCTGATAAAGAATCAAATAGTGAGGGAGATAGGAATGGTTTATTTGTCCATACGGACGGAGAAAAAGGAGAACGGGGTGTATAGTGCTAGAAAAGGGTTAAGGGGGAGTCTCACGGACAGTACGGTCCGGAATCGTAGGCGAACAGTCCAAAGGGAGTATAAAGCTGGAGGCTGCTACGGTGGATGGGGTAGTGTTGGCCACAGTCAATTCTATAAAAGAATCGCAAAGAAAAACACACTGTCAGACTTTCTGAAAACCGGATCCGGACCACTTTAGTAAAACACGGGAAACGGTTGTGCCAATTCAGTTCAGCTGTATTACAGAGTCACCGCCGGGATAAACCGAATTGGCTAATCAGACCTCGTCCTCGGCACCTTCGTCCCCGGTTGGCTCCTCGGTCTCTACAAGGGAAATCAGATACAGGAGGGTGAGTTTAGGGAGAGGATGTTAAATAGTAAAATTCATTACACTACCCCCCGCTATAGGACCGATGTCCGATTGTTAAGCTGTTCAGAAACTGCGGCGTCGAGCGGAATGCCGAGACCACCGCCTGGGGATATTTCGACCGTACGGGTTACCGGAAAGGACGAAGAAGCAATCAACGAAGACGGATCAGGGATCTCGGGGAGGGAAGCTGGGGTCGTCGACAGAGTAACAACGGTAAGAGGAGTGAGAGGAAAATGGTCAATGGAGGGGACTAATGACTCGGAAGGGGGAAACACAGGTAAGCCGGTGGCGATGAATCTGTCGGGAGTATCATCCGAACCATATGGCCTAAGTTTGTTGAAATGGGCAGCAAAGGTGGGGCCATTGGGATCGTTCGACGTCCGGAGCATACAGAGCGCCTCCGAGGGGACTTCAACCACGTCGAAGGGCCCAATCCAATGGGACGCGAAATTTCCATTCAGTCCACTGGGCGGCCGATCCTGGTACCAGAAAACCTTGTCACCCCCGTGCAGACCCTACAACACCCCCATGCAGACCCTACAAGATCACAGTCGATATTTCCCACGCTCCTCCTAGGACAGT